AGCCGCGGGCGCCGGACGGCCGGCAGAGCGCGCTGGTCGGCAGCACGCCGCCGGCGGCGTTGGCGGCGGCGGCGGCGGCCGCGCCGACGGCGGTGTCGAACGACATGCGGCCTCGCCCCGGGGCGGCCGCGGCCGCGCGGATCGCGGCCGCCGACGCCGCGCCACCATCGGCAGCGAGGTCGAAGGAGAAGCCACGCGGCGCCGCGGCCGCAGCAGAGCCCGGCGGCGGCGGCGGGACGATGGCGTCGTCGCTGGCGGGCGCTGAGGCTGCGGCGGATGCGGCGGCGACGGCCGCAGCGGCGGAGGCGGTGTCGCCGCTGCCGCTGCGGAGCTCCGTCAGCGTGTGCGCGAAGAAGCACACGGGCCGCCGGCAGGACGCCCCCATCGTGCAGAGCTGGGTGCGATAGCGGCTGGGGTGCAGGTGCAGCTCAAACACCGAGTGGGCGTAGGGGCAGCTGTCGCCGCGCGGGCAGCGGCCGCTGCGGCGGATGTCTGGGCAGATGACCGCGACATGGCTGTGGGTGCGGGGGTCGCGGCGCGCCGCCTTCTCGCCGCGGTGGGCAAAGGGGCACTCAAGCCAGTCGTGAGCAGCCTGCAGGGCAGGAGGAGGAGGAGGGCGAGCAGACAGCGGGGAGCGGGTGGAGGGGTGGGGAAGGGTGGCTGTCGTGTTCAGCGGAACACAGCCAGGGCAGCCGGACGCCACTAGAAACCGCCTGAAGGGCGCAACTACAAAGAGTATAAAAGCTTTAGAACTGCTGAGCCCTCGCGAGGAACGACTGAAGCGAAAGGAGTGGCTGCGGCGATGGCGGTGCTGCCGCTGCTGCCGCTGCTGCCGCTTCCGCCCGTCGGGCGCTACGCCCCCAGAGCGCCCATGCGCTGCCAAATGCCCGACGGGCCAATGGCGCGCCGCGCGCGGCGCGGCAACAAGCGCTCTGTGCTGGAGCACAACCAATGCATATATAATGCACCGACATCGTTTCTGACGTCTGTTGGCCCATTGCGGCCAACCGGGGAACGCGGGCTGCAACGGCGTGCCGAGACCAAATCGAGGCTCGGCCTCTGCCAACTGCAATAATGAATCGTTCTCATGCTTATAATGATCCTTGCGGGACCGCCGCAGGGCCAACCCGCGGGCATGTTCACGCTCCACGGCCGGCGCGCGTATCAGCCCCCTCGCTATCCAAATCTCACCTGGTTTGTGCAAGGATCCACCTGCAGTACAAGACGCACGGGGAGGGCGGTCATCACGCGAGTTCCGCGACGCGAGCACGGGCGGCAGGATCCACGCACACAGGCACACCCGTGGCTCGCAGAGCATCTCAGTATAATCACCTTGAACTGGTACATCATCTTATCGGGGCTCCATTCCTTTATGAGCTGGGCCAGCCCGGAGGCGAGGGCCGTCTCGGTGCAGGCTGACATGGTGTTCTGTTATCAGGCTCGCATCTCTCAAGGTCAATGTACACGCCTATGTATGTTTGCCGAACTGTGGGGAGGCAAGCAAACCGGATACGATGAGCACCACCAACAAAGCACGCGTGGAACTCAGGAGGCGGGCGTATGGCGGTCGTATAGCGGTTGTATGGGCGACCATCAATCTGACTTTTCCATCCCAAACAGGGTACTGTCGATGCGAAGGCGCGTCCCTGCTGCAGCGAGCTGATCCTCCTCCTGAGATCATATCAGCCCTCTATGTCGTGGCACCGCGCGATCTCTTGCAAGAAAATACATATAATGACGCAGCACAGGCGGCGGTGGCAGCTGCGAGCATCGCGCCTGATTGCCGTCACGGAACATGACGCAACGCGTCATGCCTGCGCCAGGGGGGACGGGGCGTGAATGGGGGCCCGGTCTTGGTGGAGCCTGGTCGCCAGTCACCGCACAGATAAACCATCGCGATGTGGAGGCAAGTAACGCTGTGTCATAAAGGGCAGGCGGAGCAAGTTTGGCAGTGTCGTGCGCTGCCATGAGAGTTGTGTGTGTGAGCTGCACGATGTAGGCCCCTGCCATGCGCCACCCTCTCGCCCCATTGGGCCTACATATGCGCGGCTGTTGGAGGGCGCGGCAGACCTCTTGAAGTTGAAGTTGATTGGATACTTTGGTGGCTGGGCGAGGAAGGGGTTTCACAATACCTTAATACCAGGGCTGGACAGGTAGCGGCTTCGTGTCATGCAGAGCGAGCGCGTGCACGCGTGCGCGTTCGCTCGTGCGCGTGTGCATGCGTGCATGCGTGCGTGCGTGCATGTGTGCATGTGTGTGTTCGTGCACGTGCATGTATGTGCTTGCGCATGCGCACGCATAGGTTGCCAAGAGCGATCTCATTCAACGACTCTGTCTTGACTACAGTACCCCCCTTCCATTGTGTCCACACGTCCCTTGCAGCTGAGCGAGATAAAAGCCAGAAGGCCAGAGTGTGTCATAGCAGCTGCTGGCATTGGACGCATGGAAAGGGTGCGATTCGTCACAAACTGGGGTCGCATGGTAAGGCTAGGCCCATCCGATCCTGAAAAGGGGCATTGTTGTGGGTCTCTGCATGGCTGCATGGCTAGTGGCGGCTGACCACGAGCAACTCCATTGCTGACACCTCCCTCGCTGCGGCACGGCAGTTGGGACCCCTGGATTTTCACCTCTGTTCTAGCTATACATGCACGAGCTCTGCAGCAGCAACATATGCGGCACGCGCCCGGCTGAGCGTTATCTGCGGGACAACGGTTTGCCCCAGCACAGTTGCATCTGAAAGAGCAGGGTGTGGTTCAAAGCCCCTCTCTGCTAGGGCTTACGGTGCAGCGGGCAGCAATACATACGCGTGGCAGGCGTTGCTGGTATCAGATCCACCCAGCCCCCTCACAAAATGTTGCTGTTGGATCGAAGAATGTGCTGCAGGTTACAATGTCAAGAGACAAGAGAATGCTGCAGCAGGTTGCACTACACACAAAAGAGACAAGGTTTATTGTGTGGTCATTGTGGGATTCGTGGAGCATGGGTTGACGCTTTGCCTTATACCAAGGTTTTATTGAGCCATTGAATGTGCAGCGACTGCGTGCTTCATGGTTCATGCGTGTGTGCGCGTATGAGTGTGTGTGCGCGCGCGCATGCGCGCGGAAGGTTGCAAAGCACGCAAAAACACACATGGGCCAAAACATGCGACCTGATCCCCTGAAACTCGCCCAGCTGCCGTCCCCTTCGACCTAAGAACCTTGCAGGACTTGAACACCCCAAGTGTCATGAAAGCCGCTGGGCCCTCAGGCCGGCGCTGGCAGCACATCAGCAACCCACCGCCCCCGGACCCTGTTTGCCCAAGTCAAAGGAACCCCGATGCCGGCGCAAACAGTCCACAGTCAGCACCAGTCAGTAGTCAGGGTGTGGTTCAAGGCCCCCACTCTGGTGGCGCATGGTCAGCGATGGAGTCAGCCGAGAGGCGGCCAGCTGCAGTTCAAAACGACACCCAGGTATACACGCTGCAAAGGCTCATTTTGTGCCAAACGCCTGCGCGCTGGGAATGCATAGTTTGGTAGCGTGCACGGCATGGCGCTGTCGCAGCGCTTGGAGGATGGTGATGCGGCACACTTGCAGCATCGGCGCAAGGACAGGTGCTGTCGAAAGGAAACAAGCAGAGCAGCGGGCCAGGCCACAGCAATTGAAGTGGTGAGAACAGACGCAGGCAGGACGGGCAGATGGAAGGTGCCTCCTGGGGCCCCCACGTGCAGCAGGATGCCTGAAGCAGCCTTGCCGCCGCCGGCTCAGCCTCAAAGCTCTCGCGCTTGAGGAGCATTCAGCAGGAGCACACCCTGCTGCAATCACTGCCACCCGCCCCCGCGCACGCGTCCCCCCTGCCGTGCTCAGCCAGTGCAAGCAGGTCGAGGGCTCGCCGCGGCGCTGTCGCAGCGCTTAAAGATGGGTGCCGCGGAACGGCGTCGATCGTCGGCCGTGCGCACGGGTCGCAGGCCAGCATGCCGCCCAGCAGCGCCGACAGGTCGGCCGGCATCCCCTCGGGCGCCACAAACGCCACGCCGCCCTGCAGCGCGTTCATGGTCGCGGCGAATGCGTCACACTTGGCGCCCAGGCACAGCTGCAGCGCGGCCACACCCAGGGAGTAGACGTCCGCGCGCCGCCAGTCGCTGGTGGGCGCGTCGGCAGGCGCGGCGGCCGAAGCCCGCGCGCGGCGGCCCCACGGCCACCCGAGCCGCCACCACGCGCGCCTGGGCGGCGCAGGGGCGGCCGCGGCCGCGGCCTCGTCCCCGGCGCCCTTGTCCTTCTTCGCAGCGCTCAGAGCCAGCACCAGCTCGGGCGCTGCAAAGCAGGGCGTGCGGCCTGCGGGCGTCTCCCCTGCCCTGTCCGTCAGCCCCAGGTCTCCAATCTTGAGGCGGCCGTCGTAGCCCAGCAGGAAGTTGGCCGGCTTGACGTCATTGTGGGCCAGGCCGGCGGAGTGCATTGCGCCGAGGGCCTCAGCCATCTGGCGCAGCACACGGGCGAGCTGGTCGGGCGACAGGCATGCTTCGCCGCTGCTGTAGGTGAGGCCGACGATGGCATCGGTCAGGTCGCCCGCAGCCAGCTCATACAAGTGGTAGAAGTTCCAGTAGTCAGGGCTTTGCTGGGCGGTCAGGAGGGGGCTCATCACCAGCTCGCGCGCCGGCGCGCCGCCGAGCTTGATGTCATGCACACCCTCGCACGAGCTTAGGCTACGCTTGAGCGCGTAGGAGCGGCCCAGCAGCGCCACGCGGCGCACCTCGCCCTGGCCGCCGGCGCCCAGGGGCGCGCCGGCCTCGAAGGCCCGCGCGGCCCGCTTCCTAAGGGCGTCCCAAAGCTCGTCGTACAGAAAGCTGCCGCGCGCAACGTAGGCCGCGCCAAGCGGCAGCGGTCCAGTCAGCGCGCCGTCTGCCGTCGCGCCCGTGGATGTGGTGCTGCTGAAGTCGAGGCAGGGGGTGTCACCGATGTCGCCGCTTGCAGTCATGCTGGTGGTGGTGTTGTCAATGCTATCAGAGAACTCGTGGGTGGAGATGTCGGTGGTGCCGCTGCCGGAGGTGGATGTGTTGCCGCTGCTCGCGCTGCGCGCGGCCAGCCTGCAGTGCAAGCAAGGGGGGGCGAGGTTAGGGGTAGTTGGTTGGCTGGGACAGCACAAGGGCATGCATGTGTGCTTGCCACGCAGCATGCTGTCAGTGAAGGCTGGCCTTGCCAAGTCCACACCAGCGGCCACGCGGCCGGCGCCCATCTCAGCATGCGCCCAGCACCTGGATCTCTTGCTGTGCCCCTGCGCCCCTCGCCTCCATGCGAAATTGCCACGCCCCTCACCCCCGGCAAAGCAGGACGCTGTCACCGCCGTCGTTGGTGGCGGTCTTGATGGGAGGAGAGATGGACGCAGCGGCAGCCGGCGCGGAGGCGCGGGGGCTGCGCCGCCGACGAGCAAGCTTGGCGCGAAGGACGCTTGCGGCGCCGCCGGCCACGGCGATCATGGCGGCACCGCCGGCCGCCTGGCCAAGGGCGGCGATTGTGGACCTGGCGTGCCGAGTGCGGTGTGAGCTGGCGGCTGCAGCCTGGTCGGCATCGACGGCATCGGCGGCGACGGCGGCGGTGATCCAGGTGGTGCTTCCGCGGCAGACGCTGCTGGGACTGTGGTGCGGAGGGGGGCCGGCTGTGAGCAGGACGATCAGGGGCTGCTGCGGACCAGGTGTGCGCATGGTGTTGCCGTTTAAGGCACAGCCCCAAGCTTCCCTCCTTCTTAAGGGAACTCCTCTACGCCTGGCAGCTGGCACCTGTTGGTGTGCGCAGCGCACAACAATAAACAGCAGCGATGCGCCAAGCAGACAGCTGCGCCCTGCTCCCTCACCTCAGCCTTTCTGTGTCGAGCTGCATATCGTCGACAACGCCCCTAAAATTTATGCTGCACCCGGATTCTGGGTCAGCGGAGGCCGGATCAATGCGTTTGCAGAAAGTGGTGCTTCAGATCAGCGTGTTGCGCCAGGAATTGATGATCGGATGCATTCAAGTTTCAGCTAAGTCTAATAAACGCCTATATGTGATCGAATGCGTTGCCAATTTGCACGCGTCTGCTTGGAAGTGGGACCAACCCGGGAGCGTTTGACTACCGTATGATGTGCCTCAGTGCCGGTATGTCATATGATTATACGATACCGACACATTTAACTGAATACACATTCAACTGATATCTTCTACAACGCGAGAGAGTTCATAAGTGATCAACATGGCGGTCGGTTGCAAGGTTGCCTCTGCTGCTCATGGTGAGCGCGGCGGCAGATGATGCGCAATTGACGCTCGAGGCGGCAGCGCAGTTTGCTGTGGTGGAGAGAGTGTCAACGCAGTTAGGGGGCCGCATTTGCTGGCTCGGCTGGGCTCATGGGCTGGAACGCCTGCAAAGAGCGAGTGCTGCAACAAGGCACAGGTGCGCGCGTCTGTTGAAGGCCTGACACGGAGCGCCTTGATCATTGCCCATAGAGCGCATGTAGTGTGGCTGTGAGCCAATCAACATGGTGGAACTGCTGAGGGGCTGTCATCAGGCTGTTTGGCAGGGCAAGTAACATGCATCTGGCGGATCCAGTGGGCGGTTGGGTGCTGGCACCTTTGTTGAGTGACGTGCACTGTACTTCGCTGCAATCTGACCCTCTGATCCACTGGGCACGGGTTTCTACAGCTGCATTGTAAAATCAGGGGCGGGGGAGCACTAATGCGGCAGTTGCGGTGTAGCGGGACAACCATGCTGGGGCCCGTGTTATGACAGGCTTGACCCTGCAGCAGCCACGGTGTTGGGTTCCATAAAAGCGCCGCTCTTCATGGCGCCCACATGCCCACGTGGCCACCAACACCGCAGGCTTCTGACGCAGCGGCGCGCAAGTACGTGGACAAGCTGCTGGGATGCCTGCGCGACAAGGACATGGAGATAGCCCAGGGGCAGGTCAGCGGGGCGCCCTTGGGACCCGATGCACCGCCTTTCTTACCTAGGATACAACGCACCAAGAGGCTTGGGCCTAGCAACTTCACCAGCCCGGTCCCTTGACCACGCCGCTGATGCCCTCGGCCCCAAATCCATCAAATCCCAAACAGAAGCTTTTGAAGGACCTTGAGAAGCAGGTCGCGGAGCTGCAGGCGCTCCGGCAGCCCAAGACGCTCCGCACGGTGGGCAGGCCTTTGCATGGCCTTGCAGCTGTCAAACATTTATCAATTTTCGGGCAGCCGGGTACAGCTGTCACACCCTCAAGCCAGCTCACATGGGTGCCGCCAGCTCACGCTGTCAGCAGCATGCTGTCTAATTTCACAAGGCCTCCACCTCCCCAGCTTCTCACACAGGCGCGCAAGAGCGGAAGGGATGTGTGATGAGCCGCAATGCTCCATCATACGCCAACCTCTTTCCCAATCCCATCATACCTTGGCGTTCTCTGACATCTTAAACCAACATGTTGGATTGGCATGTTGGGGCGCCCCCCATGGTTGTCTCAACAAAAAGGGGAAATGACTCTGCATGCCATGAGTGTTGTCGTGACGCCTGAAAATAAAATCCCGCGGCCATGCCTGCATCAGCATGGTGTAGCAGGGTATTTTCCCATCATCACAGGCTTTGACGGACATCACCACTCAAGCAGGTTTGGCTCCTCTCCTAGAGCAGGGGGTGCCATCCCCCTGCTCCCATCACCTCCAGTCTCGTCTATGGCTGTGATAGCGTATTCTTTCATCCTGTGCGTGCCTGTTCATCCTGGCTGTCCCACGTTGGCTGCATCATCAAGCGTGCCACCACAGGCCCCACGCATTTTGGACTGCTGCGGTAACGTCTTGCCCCTGAAGGCGACCCGCAAACCCATGATTAAGCGAAGCACCCTACGTGCCTGCTGTCTGAGAGCTTCGTCATTGAGCAACCGCAGGCCAGCAGATTACCGAGAGTTTCGGTGGAGAGAGCGCACTCAGACTACTGTCAGGCGATAAATTGGGTTCAAAGAAGCTGTGGCTTTGGGGATTGAGTTAATGTGCCACCACCCGGCGGTTGACGTGCATGTGTGTAGTAAAAAGTGGTTGGTTGCTGAGGCCAAAAGTCTGGACGCATGCACGGCACGATGGGACGCACATAGCCAAGCACACATGCTGGTGGAGTTGGTTGGATGGAGGATAACCATGGGGCGCAATGTCCTGATGGGGTCAAGCCTTGGTTGGGGTGACGATGGCCCTGCGAAAGCCAAACAAGGAGATAAGCCTTTGGGCCCCAAGCCAGCAGGGAGGCGAAGGGGCAGACCCTGGTGATGACCCTGGCGCACAACACAGTGGTCGCCGCAGGCCTTGCAAGAAAACGCGTGACGTCAAAATCTGGGTGACGGGGCGACCTGCCACCGCCCTTGCCTTGGACGAGCCAGTACGCCCCTGCAGAGTGCGACGCGACAGCCGCCGTCGCACATCCGGGTGCGTACCCAACCATGGAGGACGCGTCAGCAGGCAGCTCAGCAGGCATTGGTTGAGCGCCAAAACAGGCAGCTGCCCGAACCCGCCCATAGGCCACATCATGTTCAGCCGAGGTCCAAGCGCCAGATCTCCAGATCACTTGTTGGCCATCATCTTCTTCAGGTCCTGATAAGTTGAGTGCAAAAGGGTTGTGAAGCGCAGGTTAGCGCAGAGCCACTGGGCCAAGGCAAGCAAGGGTGTCACGAGTGTCAGGGGCGCCGCCCCTTGCACCCGCGTGCTGCGCCTGACCGACCACTCAAGGCTTGTGTGCGGCGGGCGCCTGCAAGGCGGGCAGCTGCACAGCCTCTCCCCGCTCGCCGCCTGATGTTCGCTCGCCGCGCACCTCCTCGGGGGCCGCCAGCGATGCGGGCATGATGTTGAACTTATCCACCAGAATCTGTGGGTTTGAGCATGGGGGCACCAGGGCAGCGCTCCTCAGCAGCTATTGCAAACGGCGGGTTCATACCAACCCGCCCCGAGCAGCAGCTCCAGCCAGAGGCGTTTCGTGCGCAAAGAGCAGCACCGCCCTAGTGCTGCTGGACGGAACCTCCCAGGAATATGGCGCTGGAGGCACCAGGTTTCATTGGAATACTGCAGGGGCATGCGGCTGCAGGGGCAAGCGGCCGCACCTGCAGCGCCTCTGGGGTGATGAAGGCGGGCAGCTTGGGGCCGAGCCTGGGGCTCAGGGCGCAGTGATGGTGAGGAGCGGGCAGCACGTATAGATAATGAAGTTTTTAGACAGTCTATTGTGATCCAGAGGTTTAACAACTTGCGGTGCTATTGATGAGAACAGATATATATCTCACACCTCTGCTGCTGCTTCAAAACAGTCAGCTCGCTGTGCGCATGCAGGTGCGCAGCGCCTCTGCAGTCGCGACAACGGTGCTTTGCGGCGTGCTGAATCACACCTGATGTTGCGCACGCCCAGGTGCAGCAGCGTGAGCAGCACTGCGACGGCCTTCTGCTCAAACCACGACAGGTCTGATGATTGCGTGAGAGGCGGGCGTTTGATGGCAGAGGGTCAGGGAAAGCGTGATGAATACAACATCCATGCAACATCAAAAGCATTGACACGATCATGGAGTTGATGTAGCGCAGAAGCAAGCCAGCAACTCAATTTGTGGGGTCCGACCACCCGAGGGCTGACGCGAATGCAACAAACGCAAAGGTGACTGCAGGCTCCTGTTGGGTGCCAAGAAGCCATCAACACGGCCATTGGATCGCATGCTGCGGTGGACCCCACCAAGTCATGGCGGTCAACGCACCCAGGGACAGTGGCAGGTCGTTGACTGAACAGTTGAAGGCCTTGGCCAGCTCAGAGGCCACCACGATGGCGCCGTACGCGTCGTTGCACTGCGGTCGGGCGGCGGAGGACCACGGAGTGGGGGATCGGCGGGTAATTGGGTGGGCCAGTCGCTCATATGGTGTCAGGTGCGGGGCTGGCGATTGCGGTGATAATTGCGCGCTAAAATGCGTGCCATCCCAGACGCGGTTGCTGTGAATGCTTGCCCTCAAAACCACGCGCACGTGCACGCGCACGTGCGCACACACGCACGCACGCACGCACGCGCACGCACGCACACGCGCACGCGCACGCGCACACGCGCACGCGCACGCG